CTACATGTTATAAACAAACACATACATGTTCACACACGCTGCAGGGGTTTCTGGTGTGTGTGTGTGTGTGTGTGTGGGTGGTTCATATTTTATGAGATGTTCAGCATTCAGAATCAAACCATCAGTGATTGGTGTTTTTTCTTGTATTCATTTGCATACTGAATGGTGATTTGCTCTCGTCTCTGTGAGTTTTGATGTGTTTTTGTGTTTAAATGATCTAGACTGATTTTTATATGTTTTCATCTCTTCTGTTTCCTTTAGGAAACGCTTGTTAACTTTGTTTTGATTTGGGTGGAGATTGGAAATCCTCAAATTAAGTCTTTGAGCATCTAAGAACAGAAACACTGAGGGTTTAGAAATGAAATGAGATGAAATACACAGTACTGATGTGCTAGAGTTACAGTCTCTGTATTCACAGGCATTAATGAAGGACAGTCGTTTACAAGGTTTCTCAAATGAAGGTTCACAAATAAAAGCTTGAGGATTGAATGATTGAAAATGAAGAATATTGGTAACTTGGAGTGTAAAATAACATTATTTTTTATAATATTACATCTTTTATTTTTTTGATTATTTAATTTACTGCAGTAATATTTATTTGTTAATTTTTATAGTTAATGATAAAAGTAATAATAATAATAATAATAATAATAATAATAATAGCAATAATAAAGACCCTGAATGAGGTTTCAGCAGCAGCAATTTGAGACGTAATCACATTGCAAAATCACCATACATGACAAAATAATTGCAATATTTTGGCCAAGTTTTGCAGCACTATATATTAAAATGTTAAAATAAAAAAGATCAAAATAACAGTTTTATTTGTTTACCTGCATGTCATGTGACTATTAAGGAAATCTGAGAACTGTGAGCATGCAAATATGTTGTTAAATTATTGAAATATTGACTTAAGATCTCAGGGTAACTTCACGTAAAGTTTGGGAATGGTTGGTTTACAGTGTGTTTGAGTCCAGATGAGTCTGATGATGTCATCTTTGTGTTCATTTGCTTTATTGGCCGCAGATGATTTCTGGGTATTTGCTTATTTCAGAGAGAATACTGTCTGTTTTTTTCTGCTTGTGTTTTTAGGATTATGTTCTGTCTGCCTCTCCATCCCAGTCAGTGTATCCTCCTCCCCACACACACACACACACACACACACACACAGACACACACACACACACACACAGTCATTGTCTGGTTTGGGTGGATCCAGACCTGTGGTTTTATTGCACTTTTAACAGATGCACAGACAGTTATGCTGATTTGGATACCCAAAGCACACACACTCCAGATCTGATATATATGTGTGTGTGTGTGAGAGAGACATTTCTCACGCACGCACACACACACACAGAGATTCATGAGACGTCGAGGAGTCATTTCAGACATTTGTTTATTTTATTATTTATCCTTGCACTTATTTATGTTTGTGTAAGTGACTTCCAGCTTCACTGTATGTTTAGCGTGTTGTTCTCTGGGACTCAAACCCATGACCGTCGTGTTGCGAGCGTTGTGATCCAGCAGCTGACTAGTCAGTCATTATTATCATTATTAGTCAGTCAGAAACGTGATATTTTAGTTCTTCCTGATCATTTCCAGCCGCTCTGATGCAAGCTTTGAGACACTTTACCACATTTACTCTTATCGTACATCCTTGTGCGGGAATAATAGTATCTGTCCTACTTCCTCCTCGTGACCTCAGCATTTCTGAAATAACAGCATGTTGAATATTTCTGGGATTTATCGTCTGTGTGTTTGTGTTTGAAGGACGTTAGTTTGATTCATGTCTGTGTGTTATTGAGAAGGAGACTCATAGATTGTGTTTAAATGATCTGCGGTTTACACAGATTACTGTGCATGTTACTGTGCAATGTCCATCTGAGTGTGTGTGTGTGTGTGTGTGTGTGTGTGTGTGTGTGTGTGTGTGAGTGTGTCTCTCTCTCATTTAGGGATTGGTCAGGATGGCCAACTAGTCGCCCACCAACCAAATATTCAGTTACGTTTTAAATACTTGTAATATTTTTTTGATAATAAAATAAAAAAAATCTAATAAAAATCTTTAATCAAACAACTGTCACGAGTTGCTGCTGTGATGAGCACGACGCAGGAGCAGGATAAGGAAACCACATTTATTCTTAACAGAAACTCGGAGAACTGGGAAAACACAATCACTATAACAGACGACACCGAACACTAGACACAGGGAACACTGGGCTTAAGTAACAAGGAACTAATGAGGATAATTAAGGGAACACAGATGAATGGAATGACAATCAAACATGAGGGAAAACTAGGTCACGGAGCACATTGGGAAGGAAAACACAATGAAACAGGAACACAGAACGTCCAGGGGCGTGACAACAACAATGTTAATATTATTATATAATATTATCAATGTTAATATTTTTATATTATTATTGTTATAGTCATTATTGAAACTAATATAAGTGTATGTGTGTATTAAATGGTTTAATAATTATAACATTATTAATAATAATATTCTAGCATTAATAATATCTTAATATATTGATCATTTAAATTAAATATTAAAAGTACTTTAAAATCTGTACAGTATTTCATATTTTTTAATAACTTAATATATTTTTTATATTATTATTATTGTTGTGATAATTAAAACGTGTGTGTGTATGTTTTAATAATAATATTAATAATATTTAATAATAAAAATATTTGTATTATTATAATAATTGAAATTAGATAATTTTTTATTTATTTATCATTATTATTTATTTATTTTTTTATTATTATTTATTTTTTTTAAAGGAAAATCTTCGAAACTACATCCATCAAATCAGCTCTTGTGTAACAAATTCAACAATACATCTCACTGCACTTACTTTGTACTATACTGAATCCACTTGTCTGTTTATGTGATTCTGGTAGTTTTGTGCAGTAAAACAATCTGGATAATTTAGTATATCTTATAAGGGTACTTTTGATCTTACAAGGGTAAATAAAGAACTGGTTGTTTCAGTAAGTTTTGTATAGTATTTTCTTTACTCTTTACTTCAATAACTATGTCTAAAAAGAGTGATATTTTATGTATTTGAGGTCTAAGATGCGGGAACGGTGAAGAGAGAGAGGGCAAACATTTTTAATTTTAGGTCAGCATTGCCATCTAATCAGCCAATATTGTCTTAAATAGCACTTCATCTTTTATAACAAGGGATTTTGACCAAATATATTAGATCGGTTACACTTTATTTTAAGGTGTCCTTGTTACAGTGTAATTATACATTTAAGTACTGAGTAATATTAATTAACTACCAGCTAGTCAGCTAGTTGTTCAGGCAACTCCACAGTCTTGTTGTTAAGCCTGTTTACATTCTCTCTGTCTCTTTTCTTGTATGCATTGGTTCTGTATGAACAGACATTATTCGTCGTTTCAAATAGGGCTGCACGATCGATCAGTTCTGCATCGGACACTCATTGGCATCAGTTTACTGTCGGGGATTTGTCGCGTCGCGCAGCATCCAGTGTAGACAGCATCACTGATTATAATGGGTTCTGTAGTGTTTTGTGGTCCGGTGTAGACACGGTGAGATGCACATGAACACTGAATTCCGTTTGCTTCCGCATCTTATTTGTTCCTGAAATGACACTTACGCACACAATTGTCAAAATGCATGTTTCTGCAAGTACCCTTGTAAACACAGTTGCTTATGGCTCAGGTGAAGGTAAACACTTGAGAAAGAAAATGGATGTGTAACAGTATATTGGTTCACAGCAGTTTAATGTTCCGGAGGCTTTCTGTGTCTTGAATGTTAATCAATCAACAAAACAGAGAAAAGTTAACAGATTTATTAGATTTAATTTATACAGTGAAGACTATGCAGTGTCATTTTACATTTGATTTTTCAATTTCTGTACCTGAATACTGTTAGACTTACCTGAAAAATATAACAAAGCACTGTTTATTTCATTTGTATCTTTGTTATTTATCTATGCTTGTAGTTTGTTTATTTTCTATGCTGGTTTACTCGCCTACAAAATCACCCCAATCGTTGATTTTATTTATTTTCTAAATAGAGCTTTTCAAGTCATCTGGTGTTTTTTTTTCATATCGCAATATGTACCGCAGAAAAACTAAATATCTATATATGCAAACACCTCAACTTTCAGTGACAACTCACTTTTTTGAGTTTGAAATAGGTCACCTATGAGATTTGCTTAGATCCAATGAGAAAGTGTTTTTATGGGGGGGGGGGGGGGGGGGTATAAAATGATGCAACAATATGTTAAAAAATGTGTTATAAAACCTTAAAGGAACTACAAATGAGCATGTAAAGCAAATATCTTTAAAATAAATTCTGTGTGTGTTCTCACCTTTTTTCCCCCTTACCTGTTTGCATCTCTGAATATCGCAATGTGAGTTTTTTCCAATATCTTGCAGCCCTAGTTTCAAATGTGCTCAGAAACATCTGACTTCATTTTGTGACCAGGTTTGTGTTTCACTGATTGAAGTCAAGTCACCGTTATTTATATACCGCTTTTTATAATGCAGATTGTGTCAAAGCAGCTTTACAGTATTAAACAGGGGAATGATGCGATTAATCGTGATTAATCGTTTGACAGCACTAGTTGTATTTATTTATGCTATTGCTAATTGATTGTTCCTATTTTATTACTGACTGTTTACTTGTCTTTAACACTTTAATATTTGAAATTTATATAAGTCTAGTTGTTTTTGATGTGGTATTTTTGTTAAAACCATCTGTGTTGCAGATTTTTGAAATGTTATTCATCTGCAACAGAATGCTTCTTAAAAAGACACAGAATAAATATATTTGACATCTAAATGTTTTTTTTCTTTTAACCTTATTGGAATCAAACTAGGAATAGTTAAGAATCGGAATCGATAAACAGAATCGGAATCAGAATCGATACATTTCAAACGATACCCAACCCTAAAGGTTAAAATGAAGACCGCTGACATTCGACCGCTTACTCACGTTTGACCTTTTGACCTACAGAACTCCCGAGGTCAGAGGTGAAGGTCGCCATAGACAGGGTGCACTACATGGCCCCGCCCTCCGTCACGCATAATGGGTTTCTATTTAAGACCGCCTCCATGGCTCGACCAATCACAGAGAAGAAGGGAAAAGAAGGTGAGCCAATCAGTGAATAGAAGATTTTCTGAAATGTTATGTGCAAAATGTTTTCAGACTAATTTCATTTGATTTGATTCTGTTTGCCTGTGTCTGTTAGAGTTCAGTCGGCGCTGGTGTGTGCTGAATGACGGGAATTTTAGCTACTATGAAAGTGACAAAAACGCTACTCCGAACGGAGGACTGAAGATGAAGGAGATCGTCTGTCTGGCTGTCAACGCTCCCGAGACTCATGGGTAAACTGGCCCACAGCGTGTGTTTAAGGACTGTCACCTTTCTCTTCTGTAGGGCCTGATAATATTCACGTCTCTTTCTTTAGGTACGATCACACGTTTGAGCTGTACTCGGATGCCGAGCGCTTGTATCTGTTCGGCACTGATAATCCCGAGACCATGGGCGAGTGGGTCAAATCCATCGCAAAGGTGATGTCACACCTGTTCTGAACCGTTTGACAGGTTTTGTCTGGTTTGGACTGTGTCTCATTTTCATGTCGTCTGTCTGTGTTACAGTCGTTCATTCCCGCGGCTGCGGAGGATCTGTTACTGAAGGACTTCGAGCGCATCGGCCGGCTGCGTTATAAAGATAGACTGAACCGGGAGATGTCGAGACTGGGCTGGTTCTGTTTGGTGGGCTCCAGCCTGCACATCCGGCTGGAGGAGCACACCGCAGACGAGACCATCGACCTGCAGAAGCTCCTGGAGCTCTGTGAGTCACAAAATGCCACCAAAATCAACAAAATGACACCAAAGCCAACAAAAACGCCAACAAAATAGACAAAAATCACTCCTAAACCAACAGAAATGCAATCAAAATCAACAAAAATGCCAACAAAATAGACAAAAATCACTCCAAAACCAACAGAAATTCAATCAAAACAACAAAAATGCTGACAAAATCAACAAATATGCCAACAAAATCAACTAAAATGCCACCAAATCAGCAAAAATGACACCAAAACCACCATAAATACCACCAAAATGAACAAAAATGACACTGAATCAACAAAAATGACAACAAAACCAACAAAAATGCAACCAAAATAGACAAAAATCACTCCAAAACCAACAGAAATGCAATCAAAACAACAAAAAAGCCAACCAAATCAACAAAAATGCTAACAAAATAAACAAAAATACCACCAAAATCAACAAAAATGTCTCCAAATCAGCAAAAATGACATCAAAACCACCATTAATACCACCAAAATGAACAAAAATGACACAGAATCAACAAAAATGACAACAAAACCAACAAAAATGCAACAAAAATGGACAAAAATCACTCCAAAACCAACAGAAATGCAATCAAAACAACAAAAAGGCCAACAAAATCAACAAAATTCCAACAAAATCAACAAATGCCACCAAATCAGCAAAAAATGACACAAAAACCACCATAAATACCACCAAAAATGACACCAAATCAACAAAAATGCCACCAAAATCTGCAGAAATACCACTGAAATCAACAGACATTCCACCAAAATCAGCAAAAATGCCACCAGAATCAACAGTGACACCAAAACGGACAGCAATGCCACCAAAACCAGCAAAAATACCACCAAAATAGACAAAAATCACTCCAAAAAAACAACAGAAATGCAATCAAAACAACAAAGATGCCAACAAAAATTACATAAAAACCAATAAAAATACCACCAAAATCAACAAAAGCACCACCAAATCAACAAAAATAACAACAAAATCAACAAAAATGCAACCAAAATAGACAAAAATCAACAAAAATGCAATCAAAACAGCAAAAAGGCCACCAAAATCAGCAGAAATACCACCAAAATCAACAAAATGACACCAAAACCAACAAAATGCCACCAAAATAGACAAAAATGCCACCAATACCAGCAAAAATAAACCACCAAAGCAAAAATACTGATAGATATTTGAACCATACTTAAAGTTTATACTGAAATAAATGTATATTAAATATATTACTTTTTTACTAGGGTCACCCTGCTGTGAAGCGGTATGTTGACTCTAAACTGAACTTGTGTGTGTGTTCGTGTGTGCGTGCGTGTGTTCGTGTGTACATGTGTGTGTGTGTTCGTGTATGCGCGTGTGTGTGCGTTTGTGTGTGTGTTCGCGTGTGCAGCGATCCAGCTGGAGAATGAGGTTCTGGTTCTGGTGGAGCGAGGCAGGTGAGCAGGTCGAGGTTAACCCGGTTAAGTCTCATATGTTTGTGACAGCGGGCGGATGCTGACTAACTGGACGTCTTCCCGCAGGACGGTGTACATCGAGGGCGAGAGGAAGCTGGATTTCCAGGGCTGGGCTGCAGCCATCCAGAGGGCTGCTGGGAGTTCTGGAGACACACTGAGTCAGCAGCAGCTGACGGAGGCCGACATTCCCGTGATCGTGGAGCGCTGCATTCATTTCACCACTCAATACGGTACTCAACTCTATTCTGCTGCACTCTATTCAACTCTTTCTGACCTTATTTGATTTTTTTACTTGATTCAGCTGTTCTACTTACATTTACATATACATTTACATTTAGTTATTTAGTAGACGCTTTTATCCAAAGCGACTTACAAATGATGACAATAGAAGCAATCAAATCCAACAAAAGAGCAATGATATGCAAGTGCTTTGACAAGTCTCGGTTAGCCTACCACAGTAGGTTTATATATATATATATATATATATATATATATACACACACACAAACACACACACACACACACACACACACACACACATATATATATATATATATATATATAT